GCTCTTTAGTCCTTTGAAAGCTGATGAGATTCAAACACATTCTTACGGCGTGTAGTGATGGATGGCCTAAATCCTTGGCAGATAGGTCTGTACGCGGGGAGGTCGCTGTTGATGCCTGGGGAACTGCCAAGGGCAGCTCTGAGGAGCTGCTGGGCAGGCAGGAGTGGGCTGGAGAAGGAGACCACATCAGGAGCTGGGACAGTGCTAAATACCTTTAGAAATGTCCAGTTTTAGAATGAAAATGCCCAATGGGGCAGCACTTTAAAAGAAAATAGAAATATCTCTCGACTTAACATTTGGAGCATGTGAAGTTGTTCCTGTTACTGCTACGTGTCTTGTTTTGGTGAGACTAAAAGGCCTGAGTAAGGGGAGAACAAAGCTGTCTGTGAAGGAAAATGCTGTGACATATTTTTGTAAGGTGAATTTTTTTCAGAGTAAAAAAAAAAACCAAACCCCAACACAAAACCCAGAACTACAATTTCTCAAAATTTTTCATTCTGGATTTGCTATTAAGATACCTTCCCCTGTGTGGTGTTTTCACTGGTGTTAGTAATCAGCATAATAAGTTGAAATGGAAATTTGCTTTCTTTTGGGGGATTAACTAATGCCGAAGTTCATAGGAAAGGGAGGAAAAGGAAAAAGCATCAACCAACAAGTAATTCTGCATACTAGGTGCTCTAGCCATCTTTTAAAAATAGACAGAAAACTTTTAAAGAAACTTTTGGCTCTTTAACTAAAATGCACTGTCAGATATCCCTTCTTTAATGTATTTTTTTACCCTAACCATAGCAGTTACGATTGTTTTGAAATACTGTTTTTAGCAACTGTAATAACAAAGCATTTTAAAAAAAATAGTCTTTTAACTGTTGAGGTAATGACTGAGCGTTTTAGCTGCTGTAGCCGTACTTTATAGTTTGAAAAAATAACGATACGCAGCAATAAAGAGAGATTCTCAAGCACAACAAAAGCTGTTTTTATATACTGGTTTTCATTAAGTCTCACTCCTCAGCTTTGGTTTCCTTAGTATTCCTGCCAATAACAACACCTGCTAAGTGATTGCTGCCTGCCAGGCTCTGCATCTCGTACGCTCCTGTGTCCAGGCTCAAACGGGAGAGGAAGACACAGCATTTAACAAAGTTTTAGGCCCAGCCTTAGCTTTCTCTCTCACCCTCGGTGTCAAGAAAAAGAGTCTCTGCTCCAGAGTGTTTCAATCCTAGGAACTTGGTGCAGATAAATCCTCAGCCCCAGATGGGACCAGAGCAGCAGAATCCATCGCAGAGGAGCCACTGCCCTGCAGCAGCGGGTATGGCTCCCCCGTGACACCCCGAAATATATATATATTTTTTTATTTATTTATTTATTTATTTTCTTTTAAAAGAGTTTCAGAGGCTTTTTTTGTGTGAGGCACTATTGTCGTGTAAAATGTTTACACAAAAAAACCAAACTTAGCCCTACTGGGTGAGCCATTTACTTGGAAATCTGTTTTATGGAGTGAAGGAGAGGGTTACCTCTCTGCCTTGTTTGTAGCTAAAGAAAAAAAGCAAATGACTCAGTCTTCACCTTTACTAGGAAGACATGACTATTTCTTGAAAGGGAAGGTTAATAATAAAATCCTAAGCAGGATATTGAATGCTGAAACAATTACGGCATTTATGATTAAGTTAAAACAGTACAAAGAACTGTTCTCAAGAAAACCAAACTGAACAGAGCACCCAACAAGTTTCAGTGACTGAATTAGCAGAATTTTAGGACCTAAAACTTGTGGAATTTGGTGCATTTTCTGTTGGGTTTTTTTCACCCTTGTTTTGGGGATTTTTTGTTGATTTTTTTTTTTTTTTTTTAAAGGCTAGAGGAAATCCTCCCTCCCCTCCATCCCCAGTGCAAACATTACAAAGACATGTAACTCTGGTGCGAGGGCTGTACTCCCCAGCGTACTTGGAGAGTGCCCCACGTTGTGCCTTATTGAGTTCTTGCTCATTAAAGTGCTAACTCCTAAGTGAGTTAGGCTCCCTCCCCTCTGACAGCAATGATACCTCATCCAAAAATTACTGTATGTGGGAAACAGCCTGTTTGCAAAATACCAACACGAACAACTTTTCTAATCATAGTAACTTATTTTTAAATAGAAAATGCAAACAGGGAGAAACCGTGTCGAGTTTCCACCAGGAAAAGAAACCCTCCCAGCCTGGTCCCTCCCTGATCTTTGCCCAGCACAGTCATCCACGGGCGCTTTCACATTTCTAATTGACACTAATATTAAGATTTCAGAGTTTACCATTCGGATTAATAATTCAAGATGGCAACAAAACCAACACCATTCATAATTTGTTATTCTGCTCTATTTCACAACCGATTTTTCTGCCTTCGTGCTATAGATGCAACAAAGAAAGCAGCAGCAGCAGCAGCGAGGGTCTGCGGAGGGAGCGCAGCCCTCGCCTCCCTTACCCCAGCTTGTGTTTTGTTAACGGCATCAGCAGGGATCAGACCCTGGCTGGAAGAAGGGAGAGTGTCATCAAATAAAACGAGGAAAAAGGAAAAACTTCGCTAGCGATCGACAAGGTCGTGTTTCATTAACTTGTTGGTTCAGGCTCACAAATGGTCGTCGGAGGTGAAACACGGCAGACTCGCTGCGTTCCAGCTTTTTGTTCTCTCTTTCCTCACAGACTGCAGTCATGTTTAATTTGGAAACTGGGCTCCTTTGGCAAATTAGCAATTAGAACAATTTTGTGGGAATATGTATATGTGTCATTAGTTTTCCTGCAAATTAATAGCGAGAGCAGAGGTCAGGCAGAAATTTTCCACTTGACTGCAGCTCCTCTGTTGAGATTTGGCACTTTGTTTTGGAACGGCCACAGCTGCTCAAAGCCACAGTCTTCCTTTAGGAACTGTCTTTTAATTAGTTTACCTCATAGCCATTATTACAAATATTACTGCCTCCCCTCCTTGAAATAAAATTACTGTTTCTACAAAATATTCCGGTGACATCTTGCACCACTGCACATTGATGGTGGGGTCACTCGGATGCAGCGTTTAATCATTAGATCACCTCCATAAGCATCTCCTAATTAGAGTCCTTACAATACAATTTTATCTGGTAATTAGCTGAGATTGGCTGCTTCCTCTGTAGCTTATTAGTGGCAGCCCAGCAGTGGGTGTGAATCACAGTGTCATTTGTCAAGCCTGTTAAAGCCCCCCCCCTTTGCTCGTCCTCTTCTCTGTTTATTCCTAGTTGCTACCTACGCTGAAAAGCCTAAAGAAATTAAACTCGATTCACATTCCTTAAGCAGGGAACACTGACCTTTGTGGATCCTTTCTCGCAGTTCCCTAGTAGAAACAGATTAAATGTTAAGTTTTTACACGCTAAAAAAGGAAGAGGACTCTTTTGAAATGGAGTAGTTGGAGCTGTAATGATGAAGCACAAGCAGTGATCTTTCCAACAGGAGGGCCTGGCTGCTGAGCCTGCGCTAGAGACGGGCACTTAAAATTGATGCAGATTTGCTCGTCGTTATTGGACTGTTAAAATGTCCATTTAGAAACTGAGATAAAATACAGTAGCTTTAATTTCATGGTGAGACCTGTCAGTTGTACTATTATTATCGTCACTGGTCCTTTTATCATATGTAATAGATGGATGGATGGATAACAGGGAGACATTACTATATACATGTCCCTAATCGGTGCCCTTAAATCACGCCAGACAACAAACGGACCAGGCTGTTGCGGGCAGCACGTGGAGCCAGTGCCTGGCACCATGGGGGTTTGGACAGACATCCTCACCTCTGGGTTCTGTTGTGTGGTTCACATCAGTGTGGGACTATCTGGGAAATCAATACCCGTATTTCACCACTTCCCACAATTCCTCGCTGGATTTGCGCTCTCCAGCCTTGCCACAAAGCCTTAAATATTTCCCGCTGGAAGGCAACGCATGGTTTGTGGGTGCCTGCACAGAAGGGTGTCTGCAGGTCTTCTCCTCCCCAGTTCCTTTCCTTGGAGCAATGCTTGAGCTGTGCCGGGTGTTGGTGATGGGTTTTCCCTTGGCTTGCTCCATCTCACTGTTAGGATGGAAAAATGATCATAATTCCTCTGTCGCTCAGCTGCACCCTTTCTGTGGGCCATGGGCTCTCTGTGTTGGTATCCTTTATGTAATGTTAGAGATGTTTATTTTCCACTACCTTTGTTTTGGATAAATCCCATTGTTTTTAGAAAGAAACATTATTTGTGACTATCAACTCATACAAGGGATGCCAATAGGAGTTTTCTTATCTGGTTGCTTCCATACAAGGAAAATTAATACAGTGCCTTATGGATAAACATGAGATGTTTGGGGGCATAGCTGAGTAGCGCTCTTCGCCTTCATCTGCAAAGGTTTAATGTCCAGCAAAAAGGTATTTTAATCACGAACAAAAGTTGTAAAATTCTGGCCCTGTTAAATTCAGTAGGAATTTTGCTACCGACTTCAATGGGGTCAGGATTTCACCAATATTATTTGCAAAACTGCCTAAGGGGAGGAAATGTGGAAGTAGTCAAAGAGCCCTTTTCTCAGTCGTTTTTTCTGATGTTGTATGTAGTTAAGAGACCGGGTTGTTTGTTTAAAATATTTCAGCGGGAGTGACCTATTGAGATGGAGCATCGTCTTTCAAAGGGCGTTGTAGGGCAGAAAGAAAGGGTCGGGGAGGAATGTGGATGCTGGTCATATAAATAGGGTTGTGTATGGAAAACATTTGAGTTGTTGGAGTTGGGTTTGATACACAATCCCAGAGGCAGTTGTGTTTTACAGCCTGCTGTGGCGAGCTGCTGTTTGTCTGGGGCTGGGGTTTCGTGCAGGTAACGCTGATGCTTTCTGTCCTAGGAGAAAAAGTGGTGCCACTTCTGCTGGGCTGAAAGTGCTTGCAGTATTTCATGCAGTGTGATTAATTAAATTATTCCAGTGTTAACCTACTCTGGGCTTTGCTTTTAAAATGGATGAACGGAGGGAAGGAGAAAAAAAAAGCCCAAATGCTGAAGAGAGAGATGGCATTTCTGCCTAGTACGTCCCTAGGAAAGACTTGCCTTTTATTTTAAGCCTGATGCCTTCAATGAAATATCCAAGAAGATTGATTAGAAGCCGTGCATAATGATAGCATGGAAATAAGAGATGTGTGTGGTTTAGATTGTGAAACAATGGAACTAAAATAAAATATTAAAATGATTATGTACTGTGTGAGATCTTGTTTTAAGATTTAAGTAAAAATCCACAATTTGTAGTTCTGGCAGCAGGCTACATAATTCTTTAAAAAATATATATATATCTGGAAATATATATATTTATTTCCCTGTACTGGCTCCTAATGGAGATGTTACACCAGCACTTTGTGCTGAAGCATGCGCTCGGGCTGTGTTGTCTGCTTCAAACTGAGGAAGACCCCGTTATTGAGAATTTCCTCTGCAGCCTTTAATTAGCCAGAAACACCATTCGTAACGAAATCTTCATCCTTCCCTCCTCAGTTGAATCTGGTATCGAGCGTCACGCTTTCCAAGACGGCATCCGAGGCATCTCCGCAGAGCTTACCTCATACTCCCACCACCCCGACTGCACCCATCACTCCCGTCACGCAGGGACCGTCGGTCATCACTACCACGAGCATGCACAACGTCGGACCCATCCGGAGGCGGTACTCGGATAAATACAACGTCCCCATTTCTTCAGGTAAAGGGGTTCTGGTGGCACAGCCCCTTTGGTCGGGCCGCTTGCCGTTGCTTGCAGCCCGGCAGCATCAGGCTGTGATGATAACAGAACAACTGCTCTTATTTAGCAGATATTGCCCAGAACCAAGAATTTTATAAGAACGCAGAAGTTAGACCACCATTCACGTATGCATCTTTAATTAGACAGGTAAGCTGAGCCAAACACATGCATTTGGATTAGGAGAAAAAAAATAAATAAATAAAAAATCTCCCCTATATGTGCACACTCTGGATTAAATAGATTTTCAAACCTTTGGTATGTAAGCGTGCTCAAATGCTCAAACCTTTACTATAAGGGTTTTTAGAACTGCAATATATAACATAATTGCTTTTGATTAAGTATTACAATACGATGTGATTATTAGGAAATTCATTTCACACAACAGTGAAAATGAGCCTGTTTAAAGATGGCAAGTCAATTATCACAAGCTACAGTAATCTCTGATCCCTAGAATTAATCTGAGCTCTAAATAATTACTGAGCTTTAATCAGCTAGTGAAATGTTTTGCATTTCTCTTTGATTCTGCTTTATGAATGACTAATAAATTAATATTTCTGTAAGGAAACAGAAATAAAAACTCAAAACAATTAGATAATTCCATTTTGAATTTTGCCATTGAACTGTTAAATACAGCCATTCATCTTAGTTCATATTCTGAAAACCCTCCTTTGGATTTCTTTGCTCCAAATCTCTTCTTTCTTTTTCTTTCTTTCTTTCTTCCTTTCTTCCTTTCTTTCCTTTTTGTGTTTGGTAAAGTAAAGCTGTGAGTGTATTTTGTACTGGTGTGCTCATAACTGATCTTGCAATCGCTTTGCTTCACAAGGCCATCCTCGAATCTCCAGAAAAACAGCTAACACTAAATGAAATCTACAACTGGTTCACGCGAATGTTTGCTTACTTCAGACGCAACGCAGCGACGTGGAAGGTAAGCCTTAGCCTGCCTTTGCCTCCTGCCTTTGATATCTGACATGTACAGAATAGACATTGCTGATGACATAACAAATTGTAACGACATGTGGACATGAAAATTTAGATCGGCAGTTTTGACACACGCTGGGTGCCTTATCTGCAGGAACAATTTGATATTTGGCAGAAAAATTTCTTCTGCCTTTGGAAACCACTAATTGAATCCCCATTATTGGCTTTTATGTTCTGTGATTATGCCACGAGTTCCTCTGTGTGGTTGCTGCTAGCAGTGAAACTCAACCCCTTCAGCTGGAACATATTAAGGGGGGAAGAAAAAAAAAAAAAGGAGGTAAAGATATTGTGTCAGTAGAAGATACACTGTTTGTCTTTTTAGTTATGCCGACTGTAATCACAACCACCACGTTTTCCCTGGGATCTATAGATCACTGGATTTCTTTCCTCAATCAGTTGACTCTTAACTACATACACAGATCTACTACAAACTTCCTCTTTTTTTTTTAAATCACATAGCAGAAGCTTATTGAACATAATATGCAAGAAGCAAGCCTCACTATAAGAAATGTGTTTAACAGAAATAAACTTGCTATTTGGCACTTTAATTTCCTACCATAACCATCTTGGATATTGTTAAATAAGAAGTCTGGGGAGTTAATTTTATTTTATATTTTGGAGGGCCACTCCTTCCCTTTTATATAACATTATAGTATCCACACTGGCTTCTGAAGCTAGTGCAATTGCAGATGAATGAATCCAAAATAGGATTGTGTATCGCTGTAAAAATTGCAGCCCTGGTACTTTGAGCCTTTCTTAATCTAGATCACTCTGTTACTCTCAGCCAACTTGAAATGATCAGGTAGGGTGAATATGTCCCATACATGCTGTTTCATCAGCCTTTTCTGTTTTTCCTGTCTCAGCCTGCATTGAGGATTAATTCCTTTAGAGGACGGAGCTAAAAATGCTCCTTGGAAGTTAACTTGGTTTTTAGTAGGATGGTTTGCTTTTAATTCAGATCCCAGCGCAGTTTTTTACATTTTCAGCATTGGTCTAGAAGCTCTTAGGTTCAGGAAAAGTCTCTGTGATTGCTGCTTTGATTCTTCACTACAGTTGGAAAACATGAGCAGTGTTTCACTTTGCAGCTTCCTCACTATCCAGAAAGGAAATTAACTTTCCCTGATTTAAGATCCTTTTAGACCCGTCTGTCTTTTGCTGCTGGAGTGGTTCCAGTAGGACTTTTCAGCAGCTGCAGGTGTGGGTGCTAAAGTAAAAATCCTATTTAATTCCAGCAGCAAAGAGAAGGGAAGTGGAGGAGGGAGTGGAAGAAGGCAGCAGGCAGCCCTGGCCGTATCTCCTGCGAGGCTACTTTTAGGAATTGGCTTTGTACATCATGCAAAATCCAGTCCCAGAAGCCACGTGCACTTAAGTGTGCTTCTGCAGAGGAGGAGAGAGGCTGAGCTGCAGACCCTTGGGCTTGTAGAAGGGCAGGATGTGTCCTGGGGAGGCAGGTACCCTTTGGAGACCCCTCCAGGACCCCTGGACCTTGTGCAGGTGTCCAGGTCCTGCTTCACCCCAGGTTCCACTAGCGCTAGCAGAATTGGCAACTGCTTGAAGTAAAAGAGGTTTTTGTGCTGAAGACCACTCAGACGCCAGCCTTCACGAACAGCAGGGATGAAAATGCAGCTCTGGATTGGCATATGATGGGAAGCCCACAGGGCACAGAACAAGCACAAGGGACTAATGGCAGTATCAGAACAATCTGAATGTGTATGTGATGATTTGCACTCACCTTCAGCCTAAGGGGGCTTTTGGATCAGTGTTCCCCAAGTTTTGGGCCAGGGTTTGGTGTGGGCAGGCTTCCCTGAGCCCTCTTTCAAAACCACAGAAGACTGTAGGAATAAAGACCTTTAAAAAATGAACCTCTTTCCCAAAATGCCGTACAGCAGAGCCGGAGCAGTTATTAAAATAACAGACCCTTTCATTTACTACATTCAAGCATGTTCAGGGTAATTTTTCTGCAGAAGTGGCTTCCATACAAATATTTTTAACAAGGTAAATATATAATCTTACAATAATAGCTCCTAATTTTTCTGTTAAGCTGATTGCTGGGGGAGCACTGTGAACTGGTTCTGACAGGTCAGAGGCAATGTCTATTTGCTTTTATTTTTTGGAATAATTTGCTGGCACTGGGTTGCAGCCATGAGGCACAGGCTGCAGGTGTGGCTCCAAAACCTTGGGGTTTTGTTCAAATAAAACTGTTAGATATGCAGAGGCAGGGGAAACAAAACAATTTTTTTTTCTACCGTGAATTCCTTAAATAAGTGCTCACATGGAAAATAGAAGGTGAGGGCAACACTTCATGGACATCTTGCAAATATTCAGCTTGTTTGTCTCAACGTCCTCAGCAAGAGCCCAATCCAGCAGCCTCAACCATCAATTGCACATTGACTTCAAGAGAACAAGAACAGACTGTAAAGTATTTCTCCGGCATTACATTTATTTAAAGAAGAACACAAATATTTCTGCTCAACCATGTATTTAGAGACTGTTTACAAACTCCGAGGACTCACTTCGCTGAACTTTGCTGTGTGCGTTTGATCAACTGCTGTATGAACTACAAGATCAGCTTTCACTGGGGAAATAGGGTTATTATTCTTACATTTTGCTCCAGACTTGACAGTGTTCCCATTTTCACAGGAAACTGCCTGAGTTACCCAGATGTGGGCCGGCAGCCCTGGGTCGGGTTGCACTAGTTCGGCACCCACCAGCAGTTGCTGAGCTGGCTGATTTTAGCCCGTAAGGTGTGGGGCGTTTGCATGTTTTGCCTCCACCTCAAAATCAGGGATTTTGCCAAAAATTTCAAAAGCAGTGAAATCTGTGAGAGGTGGGAGGAGGGGGAAAAAAAAATATTAAAAAATAAGAAGAGAAGAAAGTAAGGGCAGGAGGAAGCAGCCCTGATGGACAGGTTGACTTTCTGCTCGATTTCTGCCTTGCTGAGAGGAAAAGCATATTCAAGCTTTATTTTTCCACCAGTTCACGAGCAGATCAGTGTGGAAAAGACAAAGCACCTGGACTCTGCCATAGAATGGGGATCAGGCACCGACAGCCAGAGGAAATGTGTTTGCACTCAAGCATCTGCTGAGCAAAGGCAGTTCAAGCCCTGACTCTTCCCCTGTACTGGGGACAGGAGCGTTGGGGACTGCGCTAGCGATTGCAGAGAAATGAAAAAGTAGCAGAAGACTCTTAGCTTCCCCTCCCAGGCACACACACCACTGCCTCTTAATTTACATGACAAATGCACTGTGCTGTACCCTTTGTTTGCACAGTGATTTAGACATTCATGATTAGAGCTCCCTTTCACCATCAAGACCTGATGTTCAGTTAAAAAAAAAAAAAAAAAAAGAAGAAAAAAAGATGATGATGACGACGGAAGGAAAAAAAATTGTAGTCTCTTGGTTGCCTAGACCCAGGCCATGTGTTTGGCTGGCATTGTGCCTGCTAACGAGTCAACCAGATTGACTAAATCAATGGTGCCAGTGATGATGGATGGAGTTTGTTCGCCTGCATATTTTCAGCAAATGGCTTCTTCTGTTTTCCCTGTTTACCAAGCCCCTTTCAGTGGTGCTGGGGACAAGCTCCATGTACAAATCTGAATGGCTTTGTAATAGGGTATTTGCTCAGAAAAACTCATAAAATGGGGAAGGAGAACTCCATTTGAGGAATAACAAGGCTCTTAGCACCGTTTCAGAGGGAGCAAGGACAGAAGAGCCACAGCTTGCTATGACATAGCGAGGTGCCTCATTATGTCAGGCTTCAGCAAAGGTCTGAGCGCGTCAAGGGGTTGGCTGGGCTCATCCTTCCCCAGAGCCAAGCTGCAGAGAGGACATCTAAGCATCGGATGCCATGAGCACGGGTCCCTCTGGGTGATGAGCTGTGGGGATATTATCACTTTGTAGAGAGCCCTCCTCGCGTTTTCATTTGGCAGAGGCACAGATCAGTCAGTACAGTAGTCTGCCAGAAATAGGAGCCAACTTCCATATAAGAGCAAGCCACGGAGGCAGGAGTCAGTGCCGTGCTGGCCGGTGGGGTGCTGCCGAGCCCCCGGTCTGTGCCGTGGGTGTAGAAGGAGGTTCAGCACCTGATTTACATTAGCCCAGCTGTGGGAAACCACAGCAACACCAACTCTGGTGCCTCTCTGCTAAGCTGAGCAGCCTGTACTTACGTGAAACCCTTTCTGTTCTTTCTAACCACTTTCTTTTCCAGGAGAGGATAAACTTCTCTTTGCAGAGCGTATATATTTGTTTTTAAAATGCCTAAGCAATATTTCCCTTGTGTTCTGTATGAAATATGCTGTATTGTACAAGATGCATGCTTAAAATTATGGCTGTTCTCATTCACACTGGGGATAATTGATAAGAATAACTTGAATTTCTAATCATGGGTATAAGCTTTTGTATTTATTTTGTCTTTGCAAAAAATAAGATGTAAAAAGCCGGGGAAAGCAAGCGGGTGCGGGGAGGGGAAGGGGCTTAACATTGCAAAATAAGGGCTGTCAAGCTGACTGTGCTGCTGTTCTTGGACGATGATGAGCATTTTCTCATAGAAAGTTTTTGAATGTTTTCTCTTTTATACTTGCTGCAGAATGCAGTGCGTCATAATCTTAGTCTTCACAAGTGTTTTGTGCGAGTAGAAAACGTTAAAGGGGCAGTATGGACAGTGGATGAACTAGAGTTCCAAAAACGAAGGCCACAAAAGATCAGTGGGTATGTCCACCATGTTTGAACTTCTTAGCCTAGCTTGGATCATGCTTACAGTTTAACGTAGAGGCTTTTGGCTGCTAGCTGGTGTTAGACCAACCACAGGTGGTTTCACATTGTTTCAGTTAAGGGAAACCAAGACAAACATCTCATCACTACTGTTTGTATGCCCACCAGTACCCTGACCCTGCTTGCTTGGTGTTTGTTGCATCACATGCTAGTAGCTTTTAGGTGGCAATGCATATTAACCCTCACAAACCATTTGCTTATGCTTATTGCATTTTATTTTCTTTTTCCTTTTCCCTGTATTTGATGTCTGTTCTGTCCCCGATCCCGTGTCCCTTTGTTTCCACTTCATCTCCTTTGCTGCTGCTCTTGTCCCAGGGTGCCATTCGCACCAACCTCTCACTGCATAAGTGCTTTATCAGAGTAGAGGATGAGTTTGGGTCCTTTTGGACTGTTGATGATGAAGAGTTTAAACGTGGCCGTCATATTCAACGAGGCCGTCCTCGAAAATACTGCCCTGATGAAAACTTTGGCGAGCTTGTTGCACAGTAAGAGCTTTTACTTGCTTTAATTTTTTTTTTCTGCTGTTGCTTTGCTTTGCATGATTTACCCATCTCATGTAGACTTGCATTTCACGAAATAGTGACATCACCTTTGCTGCTAAAGAAACTAAATTTTTGGTTGTTACGTGTATTTTGTGTGTCCTACTCTGATAATCCAAATGCCTGTAGTAATAACTCTGCTATGACATGTTTGTTCTAGCATTTGTTTATAGTGCAATGTAGACTAAGATAATTATGCTGTTGTAGACCTGTCAGGAAGACAGATAGATGCCAGGAAAGGCTTCAGATAAGTTCTAATATATAAATTCTAATATTTTCCTTTGCTTCCAGTTGTATGCCTTGTTTTGCAGCTCTTAATCAGGAACAGTGTAAGGTGCTTGTAAGACAGAAATGTTAAAAAAGTTTGAAAGCACAGCAAGACCAGCTGTAAAGATTATAATCAACAGGCCATCCTGTGTCTACAACAACCGTGCACAAATATTCCTGGGGTTCCCAAAGCAATTTTCTTTGACCTTTACTTGAAGGCCATCTCTCCAGGACAACTGATCCTTGTTGGTCCTTGTGCAAGGGGCTCAGTTAAAGACTCTTCTCACCATTATTTACTTCCACATGAAAAAAAACCCAAAATAAAAATGCTCAGTGAGCAAGAAAACTTCTCAGAGATTTTTTGCATTGGCACTTTTTATCTGGTTTGGATTCAGTGATTTTTTTATTCTTTTTTCCTCTCTGGTGGAACCAGTGATACTTAGATGCCTGTTAAAGAGAAAGCAGATTTGCTTGGCAATCATTTTTTCTCAAATCTGTCCCCTTATGTAAACTTAAGATGACTGAAGGGTCCAAAATAGCACACTAGAATATTTTTTAATAAAACAGCCTTTAGGGCAGCGTGTTGTTTTGTGTGGTCTGTACCATAGGCCATCCCTCACCAGGACCCTTCACCGTTTGCCTGGCAGGAAATAACGTGGCTGAAATCCTCCCTCATCGCGGTCCCCTTGCGAGGGGCTCTGCTGCCAGTGACTTTGAGAATAATTTGCATGAAGTAGTATTTAAAATGTCCCGTGATGCTTTTTGATCATAGCCTCCTCAGGATGGACCTTTACATGGTAACTGGCTCCCAGACACGACGAATATTGGAGAATTTCTCCTGAACACAGCTAAAATGAGCAGAGATGCCAAGATGTGCTACTAACACAGGGTAGTAGAACACATGGCGAGGTAACGTCAAGAGATAATGATGTTCCTTATTTAGTAAAGGCAAATATGATAACCATAGCCTAAAACTCAGATATTTTCTTTAAATTTAAAAAAAAAAAAAAAAGAGAGAAACGAAAGAGAACTTGTGTGGAAAAACAGTCTCAGCTCTAGTTTTCTGGTGTGGGAGGAAGCGTTACATGCTTGAAACGCTCATACAGAAGTTGGTTGCATTTAACTCTCCTTTTTATGTTTTTCTTATGCAGTAACCCTTCTCTTATTAAAAACATACAGACCAGCCACACCTACTGCACACCTCTCAATGCTGCTTTACAGGTAAGATTAATGACTGTAGCAAATATGCAACAGAGGCGTGTGTCTTCCCCACTCATTTCAAAATATATTAGCCTTGCTCTAATTAGATATTAAATTTTAATTCCGTTAAACTTTTTTCTTAAGTGCATAAAGCATCATAGTCCCTGGAGGCAAACACATATCAGGCTGCTTCAGCATTAGCTAGATGCTTAGCATTTTGAATATTGTGGCAAAAAAATTAAAAGTTCACTTATTAATATTTATCAGCAGTATCATAATTTCCATCCTCTTATTTCAGAATTTCACTTGAGGCAAAAATACCACAAGTGTAATTACTCTAGCACAGCTATTAATGTGCTGAATGATAGGATACTGCGGCACGTGACCTTCTATTGTTCATGGGTTTAAAGAGAAAGCAGATCATTTTTCCCCCTTTTCTTTTAAGGGCTATTTTTGCATATCTTCCTATTGTTGGTAAAAAATAAACATTGCAATTCCTCTAGAAAAAAAAAAAAAGATAATTTTTATTGGTTTAAACTGTACTGTAATTGTAAGACAAAAATTCTGGTTTTTCACGATGTAGAAATACACAAAATGTCTGTGCACAATTAATAACTTGCAGCCTAAAAGTGTGTCCGTCTCCAGCCCTTTTTCATGTGCTGTGTATCAGGTTGTCATTTTTTTCCCCCTCTCTACAAATTCCTGAGTCTACCTCAAAAACCCAGGTAAGGTCAGTATTTGCTGTATGAACTAAAGATACAAATGCATTACCGTGTCCTGAATTTGCAGGGGTGGAGTGTGCTTGTGTGGGGGTTCAAGCCTGTTCCTTGTTGTGTGAATTAATTGGGGAGGCAACACCATGCGTGGTTGCACCCCGGTTGTTTGTTGAGGGTCGCTTCTTGAGAAGTTCATTGATGGCCATGGATGTTTGCTTGGGCAACTGTGTCTTGTGGAAGGTTTAGCGGCCTTCTCTTTTCAGAACCAAGAAACAGGAGATTATTAGGAGAGAAGCAATGTTCTGCATTTCTTCTAATCATTTGAGTTTAGGCAGTAACTTCTGAAAAGCAAAGGAAAGCATGTTTAAATGAAGCAACTGTAAATACTGTTCATTAGTAACTTATTTTCCCTTGAGTCTTGTGAAGTGTGATTTTTAAAGACTGCTTTGTCTCCTGAATAGTATTAAGATTACAGGCACATTTTGCATTCATGAGACTGAAAGGCAAAAACGAAATGATCCTGCATTTCTTCACATTGTTAGCTATGTGACTAATTTCAATTAATATGCTTATCATACGGAACTGTTCGTGTTTTATTTCTGAAACACGTGTCGTTGTCGTCATCTCCATCCATTCTTGTCTTTTCTGATAACCTCCAAACTGATTCCCACTTTTCCTGGAAGTGGCACATACTCGTGTATGGTGTGAACTGAGTTGATGGAGAGAAGAGCCTGGGCCAGATTTGCTGCTGCTGTGGCCCCCCCCTCATGAACAGGGGTGAATTTGTAGTCTAGAGCTTCCTCTCAAGGGGAAGAGGAGGGGTGGGTGCTGATCTCTTCTCTCTGGCCACCAACGCCAGGAGCAGAGGAAATGTCAGGAAGATGTGCCAGGGGAAGGTGAGGTTGGCCATGAGGAAAAGGTTCTTGAGGCAGAGGGTGGTGGAGCACTGGAACAGGCTCCCCAGGGAGGTGCTCATGGCACCAAGCTTGACGAGATCCCAGCAGCATTTGGCCAAGGCCCTCAGGGACATGGTGTGAATGTTGGGATTGTCCTGTGCAGGGACAGGAGTTGGACTCAATGATCCTTGTGGGTCCATTCCAGCTCACAACATTCTATGATTCTGTGAATATCCATTGCACTGAGACAGGTCCTCGTGTAGGTTGAAAATGCACCAGCAGTTCCTCACTCCTCTCCCCCCACATTGGATTTTGGAGGCGGAATCCCAGCAGGTGCTTGGGTGCTGGACTGGGGTTTGGGTGAAGTCATGCGGGTGGCAGGTGCCACGTGGGCAGTTTGGACCTTGGTTGGGCAATAACCTTCTCCCTAGGACACAAGACTGTTTGACCTTCCAGTGCCTAAGTTCTGTCTAATTAATAATTAACAAGCAACATTCCCCCAGGTTTTGCAGACATCTGCAAAGACCGGCTCTTTGCACATCCCCATGAGCGCAGTGGCCGCCTCTCTGCAGACCAGGGGATGGCACGGTGTGCTGCGTGCCGCCGGGATGGCTGGCTGTGTTTGTCTCCTGTGAGGTGGCGGAGATGCCCCTCTCCGTCACCCCCACCCCTCTGACATCTCCCCCATCTATTTTCCCTCACTTCCAGGGAGAAGCAGCAGCTCTCTCCTTGCTCTGTGTGCAGAAGGTACAGGGACTCCAGCTCTCACCAGCACTCTCTTTTCCCAGCGGGTTTCTGGGGGCTTCCAAAACACAC